TTGGATCGGAAAGGTGCGATGGCACCCGGGAGTCCCAACACCCCCTTATCTGGTCCGTTCAGCGATGGTAAGATTCGTGCTGTGCTTTGTCCAGAAGCAGACCACTCGCTGTGTCAGTTGATTAAGCAGGCTATTTACCCGGATGCATGCGAGCCGGCAGAGTAGGCCTGCCAGGTCACGCGGTGCATGCGCCTGGTCAGACCACAGTTCACATCAGCGTCTGTTTTCACACAGCTTTTCTTTTTTGAGCCCGTGTGTGTGAGAGAGAGGCTGTCAGAGAGAAGAGAAAAAAGGCTGTTTTCCATGACAAAGGGATAGCGACGGAAGTCCTAGGAGGAGAGAGAAGCTGTGATGAAGGGAGAGAGAAGAAAGGTGAGGATATCCTATCTTTTGTTAGCCCATGAGAGAGAGAAACTCAGAAAAAAGAGGCCCTGTAAGGGAGAGAGAGAAGTAAGAGATTTTCTTTGAAGACATTAGAAGTCAAATCAAACGAGATAGCATGTGGAATCTGCTACAGTGCCCTATGAGGCACAGCTCCTGCTCTTACTGTTTCAATAGACTGCTAAACAAACAATGTTTCAGTAGCGATAGATGGGTGCCGGGACAACCGGGACCTAAAAGGCCTGTCTCTTCTTGGATTCTCCTTGAATGACCCCTCCATCCATTTTTCTTTTTTTGATCCATTTTTCATCGGACACAATATCAGATGAAAACCAAGTTTTGAACAAAACTTGAAAACCAGGTTTTAGAGTTTTGAAATAATCTGAAAATAATATAGGATGTTAAAAAGGCGATGTTCTACTGCCGTATGAAAAAAACACATTAACATTTACCGTTGTTTCGTAAAATGATCTGCAATATTTTTTCATCTAAAATTTTTGTAGTACTAGGTAACAGTTTTTACGAATGTTTTCATTTTAGAAAAAAAACACCGAATCCAACACCTTGATTCTTCTTTTTCTTTTTGCGTGTACAACCGTTACATACAAATACAAGGGCGTAGTCAAACCCCATGCTACCAGGGGCGTGGCCTGGGGCGTGCTGGCTTGCTCCTTTGTTGTCTGTAGCAACATGATCACTGTTTGACATTGTTTACTAGTGTAGCAATGATGTTGGCCCGGGGCGTGTCTCTAACTTGGCTACGCCACTGATTACATAGATCTGGATTTACGCCACTAATTACATAGATCTGGATTTAGCATCATATGTCTCAGCAACTCTTGCACCACACAATCGTTTTATATGTTTGTTTGAGGTTGAATGTTATCTCATTTTTCCGCTTTGTGTTTTTCCTCTAGTGTAAGTTAAGCAACTTTTGTTACTCATTCATATTTTTATTCATATAGAAAACGCCGTGTGTTGACTTGTGTGGATCAAACTGACTTGAAATTGATGGCACTTTAAACTTGCATTGTCTAACTACTGTTGTATTATTCCGACCGGGTTGCTTCCGCTCGATTATATTTAGTTCGTCGTGAAATCCGAAGAGCGTATTTTGTAAACTAAAGTTATAATTATTATGAAACCGTGGTTGTTCGGTCGCACTTGCCAGCCACACCATTGAATGAAGAGCACATTGCACAATCATGACAAGGAGAACAATGATCACAAAAACTTGAAAACTTTCTCATTGTTGATGTTTGGTGGACCCTTCTATAAGATCAAACAAGATACTATGCCTACTTTAACTATCCATTTCTTAGCTCATAAGCAATCTCACTTCACAAGTTTTCTTGGCGGACCCTTGTAGAAAGCCAAACAAGATACTATGCCTACTTTAAGCATCTACTTTTTTTGCTCATAAGCAATCTCACTTCACAAGTTTTCTTGGTGGACACTTGTATAGGATCATACAAGATACTATGCCTACTTTAACCATTCATTTCTTAGCTCATAAGCAATCTCACTTCACAAGTTTTTTTGGTGGACCCGTGTATAAGATCAAACAAGATACTATGTCTAATTTAACCATCCATTTGTTAGCTCATAAGCAATCTCACTTCACAAGTTTTCTTGGTGGACCCTTGTATCAAAGAAGATACTATGCCTACTTTAACTTATCCATTTCTTAGCTCATAAGCAATCTCACTTCACAAGCTTTCTTGATGGACCCTTGTATAAGATCAAATAAGATACTATATGGCTACTTTAATCATCCATTTCTTAGCTAATAAGCAATCTCATTTCACAAGTTTGCTTGACTTTTTGGTCAACATGTTTACTTTGTTACTCAAATCTGAGCCTACAATGTAGCTTCATTGAGAAGGAAACTTGTACGCGAAAGAGCCATTCTGCTCCCATGTGCAAATGCACCCCGATGGACAATAAACTCCGACCGTCTAAATCGAGTCAGTGTCATGACCATCTAACGCCATCCATTCGTGCGTACCACGTCAGCCCGACAGATGGGCTCCACCTGTGGGTTTCACTGTTTTTGTGAGCTCAGCCTTAAGATCGTGCTATATGCTACTCGTTTGACGCAGAGTTGATGGTTCTGCGTGAGTTGTCCCGAATGTGGTATCAGGTTGTTACTCTAGCCCGTTATATGGTGGTTATATGTAATTTGCTCTTTGGTCTATTATATATTTAGTAAATCAATATGCTGGTAACCAAATTTCTTAAGAACCCCGCAGTGTTTAGCATGTAGGTTTACTGCTCCTTTCCAATGTGTTTTGCAAATTTTGGTGCACACTCCCTTGGATTCCTTGACAACTCCCCTAAGTGTGATCAAGACAAGACTACTTCGTCAGAAGTGAGACCCATCACAACCATACACTCTGCATCAAGCCGCTGTCCATGTATTGCATCTCAACACCGAAGATAAAACTGGCCAAAGTGAGAGTTGTCAAAACCCACAAATAAGCCTACTTGGGCGTAAGAGATGATTTTTTTTGTCCGACAGGGAATTTTATTCACCATTGTAGATGTAGACTCGCGTTATTCGGCTCCGTGAATCATTTATAAGTAGGAGACGGGGAGAAAGAAATTGGTCATCCTTAGTTGAGTAGGAAATTTCACTAGTTATTAGAAACCGGTTCTTGGACCTAGTTATTTTTTTAACACAGTACAATCGTAGAAACCCATATACACGCACATACACTCATTCCCGACATCACATCTTGAGATTGACGAAATTACCACATGCGTCTCGTAGTCCACGAAAACGTCTCCTTCAACTGAACGAATATTGCTGAAAAGACTGAAATAAATCTAGAAAAATGCGAACATCAGTGGCAAGCGCAAAACTTAGATCCCGGTGGGCTAGTTTCACCATAAGAAACCTAACCATCAAAGCTAGCTGATGTATCAATTCGATTGTAAAAAAAAGTCGATGTATCAATCGCATTTGCACTCCAGCTTCTACCAAAAAAAATCACGTCTAAAATTTAAATTCATTTACAGTGTATTTGTTCTGCAAATGCTTACGAACACTGGGCGTCTGAAATTATTACGCAAACATTTGCTGGGACTTTTCTAAAAATAATACTGTACTAGTACCTGCACGAACCTGAACTGCCTGAGTCCAACCTGGAGCAGTGGAGCGGCTGCAGAGTCAACTCAAACGTGCGGAGTCGAGCGCGGGCGGGCACGATCCAAATCCGGCGCCCGGAGTCAACTCCACCGCCTCGGCGCGACTCGAATCCGCCGCTCTGCTGCCTGCTTGCCCGCCGGACGGGACGCTCTGCTCCTCCTCTCAGGGCACCTGCCGCTTGGTCGCCACCGGCGGCGATTGTGCGAGGGGGATCCATGGACGTGGAACCCTCCCGCCCCGGGGGCCGCGGCGAGCCCGGCGCGGCGGCGTGGGTGACGGTCGAGGAGTGGGGCGGCTCCTCCGGCTCCGCGCTCTCCCGCACCGCCGTCCTCACCGCCTCCGCCTCCTCCCTCACCTCCAACAGGTGACGCCTCCACCCTCCCTCCCGCTCGGTTCCTTCGTTTCGGCCCGCTCCCGTCTCACGCGCGCGCGCGCACCACCGTCCCAGGTTCGGCAGCCGGTGGGGGCGGATCGGCAGCCGCGTGCTCGGCGCCTTCGTGCCCGAGGTGAGTCAGCCAGCCTGACGCTCTCCACGCTCGCCATTAGAGGTTTAGAACACTGTTCTCTGTTCATGTCAGTGACAACCGTTACAGCTGTGAATTATGACTAAGCTGGTGCCTCTGAATTTCGGTCCTGGTGGAGCATTCTTCTCCGTTTCACCTGTGGCAACTCATGAGCGATGACTTTCTGATTGGCAGGGTTTTCCTGGTAGCGTCACTCCTGACTACGTCCCATTCCAGATGTGGGATACCTTACAGGTAGATCCTAAACCCTTCGTTTTTACAGTTACTGTTTGCAAGCTTGTTGGACACCAAAGCTACCTTGGTCTTTAGTTCTGACGCCTTATCCATGGCTGCTTTGCTATAGGGGCTCTCGACATACATCCGTGCAATGTTGTCTACTCAAGTAAGCCTGGCAGTCCAGTGGTTGTTCATCTTTGCTTTGTTTTTGCGTCTTATTGTTTTGCCGGTCTAAATGGAATGCCACCTGAACTGGCTTCAGGCCCTTTTAGGTGCCATTGGCGTAGGTGAGAAATCTGCAACAGTCATAGGTGCCACTTTTCAGGTATTTTTCCTCCACCAATCTCCATATAGGCTTGCGCAAATGCCTGAGCTTGCACTCTTTCCTAGGTGCTAGCACATAACTTACGAATTATCTCATGAACGTGTATGGATGTGCATATACGAACAATATTACTTCTACTATTATTTTGGATCGATATGCCCCTAGTGGCTGTTGCTGTGTGATCCATCATTCGAAGGGGTGTTTTGATTGGCCAACAACCTAGCGATGATTCAGGCCTTTCTCAATTGCATGAGCTGTGTGTTTGATCTGGCCATAAACTCAGCAGCATGACCTGCACCTTTGTTCTCAATTCTCTCCTTTTATTGGGTTTATTGTTGCATTTTCTCCCTTTTTTTCTGAATACATTCTATTCTGCCAGTGGTTTCTCAGGGATTTGACTGGTATGCTCGGAGGTATATTGTTCGCTTTCTATCAGGTACCAAGTTTTCTAACTAATTAGAGTAGTAAACATTATCATCTTACCACTGGAAATGATATTTTCCTTATGAGATAATCGTGGTTTGCTGAGATAATTTGTTTGGCCAGTTCGTCATTTGTCTGTACTCTGTATTCATTATTACTTTTCTTTCTTTTCCACCAGGGATCCAACCTTGATAGCAATGCAAAAATGTGGCGTCTAGTTGCAGACTTTATGAATGACCTTGGTAATGCTCAACTAAATTCACATTAAATACTATACTTCTGTTTCTTCCCTCCCTCTGCATTTCTCTTCTTGCGTCATATAGCCAAGTTAGGTTGGGTGCTAGCACCTTTTGAGTGTGACTTACTGTTCTTATCCCGCATTGCTTACCCAATCCAAGGTTTCTACTATCATTTTGAACTGTGAATGAGTAGGACGTATTTAACTCTTTACAGTATTCTGCTATATTAGGCAGATGGTATGATTCAATGTGCTACATGTTCCTGAAACTACATCTTACATGAAAGCTGGGTCATACGAAGAACACTTTTCCTATACACATGAAACTATAGTAACACCGTTTTGTTGTTGTTTACAGGAATGTTGATGGATCTTTTAAGCCCTTTGTTTCCTTCATCATTGATAGTTATAATGTGCTTAGGCAGTCTATCTCGGTCATTCAGTAAGCCAGTTTACATGTTGAATTTCTACAAACTTTTAAGAGGAATGTTTGGAATGGTTCTTTTCTTAGCTAATTTTTTGCTCATGATGTATAGCCGGTGTTGCCAGTGGAGCAACTAGGGCGGCATTAACACAACATTTTGCACTTGCAAATAATGCCGCTGATATATCTGCAAAGGTACCTTTGAACAATCTCAACATTTCTTGTAGACATATATTAGATGGTAAATTATCACTGAAATGTATCTAAAGGAACACACCCAACTTTTCAGGAAGGCAGCCAGGAGACACTTGCAACAATGTCTGGAATGGGACTGGGTATGCTGTTGGCACATGTTACCAGGGGGCATGATTTGGTTGTATGGGTTTCGTTCCTTTCTCTCACAGTATTCCATATGTACGGTGAGTGTTATTAACTAGTTAGACATTGCCGATTACATTGTTTTCAAAAGAGGACATTATAATCGAAACATCTGTATAATCATGGCTGTTGTTGCCTTACTGTTCCTGTCAAAAACAATTATGGTCTATGGGGTGAAAGGAAGAAAGGCACCCAAAAGAAGAGGAATTAGCAGATGGAAACTAACGTAATAGAAATATTTGAAGCTGTCCAGTATATGGTGTGCTGCATGAATTCCAGATTCCATTGGGTCCTGTCAATTTGATATAGCAAGATATCCAAACAAGGCAGTAACTTTAGTTTAGCTAAATAATTTTGAATTTGAAATTAAGACCCCCAACCCCAGTCTCCTGTTGGGTTTTAGTCCCACCAGAATTTATTGTCATGAGAAATATCCAGTAACAAAATGTTGACGCAATAGTATAATACATTACCCACTTTCTACTTAGACTCGTTTGAACTGAGATAATATATTCAATTAGTAGCAGAACTGAGTTTTGAACGCACTTCTTGTTTACAAACTTTTGCTTGTTCTATCTATGTGTGTCAATTCAGCAAATTACAAGGCAGTGCAGTCACTTTCACTCAGTACACTAAATTATGAGAGAACATCCATCTTGCTGCAGTATTTTATGGAACATGGTGAAGGTGCGTGTATTGCTTTTCCTTTTCCTGGTTTCATGAAATCCATTCTGTTGTGAATTGCTGTTACTGTAACCATGCAGGATCAGTTAGCATCTAAGAAACTTAGTGGGGTTAAGTTTGTGGTTAGCGGGCCATTACTAGCTGCACAGACACACCTTTTTTTTTGCATGTTGTGAATCTTCATTAATTGTATTGCCCAATATGGTGTGTGTTCCAAGTTCGAGGCTATGCATTTCTAAGGGGCATTTCTTTATTTTGTCATATCTCACATGCGGAATTTAGGTAGATCTGTCTGTGGCATTTTAATTATTGCCTCAAGAATAAGTTTGACTGGTTCATTTTATGAAGCTGCAAAAAATTGATGCAAGAAGTTCCATTATTTGATTATCATACTTTTTGCATGGAATTTTCCTAGTTCTTACACCACAACAGGTTTCCAAGCAAGAGCATATTCTTCCGTTCTGGTCTAGCTGGCGGAAATTACTTAGAGTTAAACTTCCACATGAGCTTGTACACTTAGGTGCTAAAGCCTCAATGCTTACGCACTCCGACATGTAAGTTCTATCTTCTCAACTATGCTTTTATGTGTGACATTGCCTAGGAATTAAAGGGTGAATTATATTTGTTTGTCAAATTTAACAGGTTGCTGATTGCAAAAACAAGATCCTACTATACAAATGGTATGATTCTTTTGTTGCTCATGCGGCAGTATAGTGATTGCTGCTGACTTTCTTTACCTCCCGCTTTTGTTCAGCCAACTATTTTTTGCTGGACAAGGACGGCAGTGTTTGTATTTTCATCCACAAGCAGGCAGTGGCAACTGATGTCTTGAAGTCCTTCATACATGGACTCGTCTTAGCACGTTTCATGCAGAAGAGCAAATCTTGTCATACAGAGGCTCACCAATGGATGGATGAGAAATACAACACCTTCATCTCAAAGGTAAAATACTGTCACATTTGCTAAGATCTCCATCTAGTGAACTTGTTGTATGGTTGGTATAGTAGTACTTCACTGGGTTGGAGCTTAGCCTCTCAGTGCCCCTTTATAGGGTTAAAACATTGAAACAGGCGCTCCAGATCAAAGAATCTATTACTGATAATCGTGCATACAGTATTGATGGTAGGCTTACGGAGCTATACTATACCCTCTCTGTGCTTTAACTAAGCACCAAATGGCGTTTTTCCTTTTTATACGGGGAAACAAATTGGTCTCCATGGAATCCATCCATATAGAATCTGAGAATTGCCCTGATGGCATTCCATAATGCTGTTTTCACCACAAACGTACTAATATTTGGCTATTCAAACACCCACAGCGCAGCCATGAGCAGGTTTGTAGGATGGGGCTCTAAATGGCAAAATTTAGTGCCATGAAAGTTGTTCGTTGTAATCTAGTGAATATTCTTTGCAATTAGTTTTGTGTATCTGTTTTATTCTACTATGATGCGTGATGATGGTTCATTTACCCCCAAAATTTTACAGCTGAAAGTGGAAGGCTACTCAACGGAACGACTTCTGTCGCATTCGATTGTTTGGAAGGCACACTGGGTTTATGGTCCCTTGGGTGAGAAGACCAAGTAGGAGGAAAGAGCTGGAGATGGCCATATCCACTTGACTAAGTAGTTGGTTATGCTAGTGGTAAATTTTGTGAGAAGGTGCATTCGAACTGCTGTGTAAACGGAGATCACCAAATCATATCAAAGTTGAAACGGACATACAGATAACCTGCGTCATCAGAGCATCTACATATCCGCCCTAAACGTCCATGCGGTCTGTTCGGTCTACCCAAACCGGACCTGGCAAGCTTGGCCCAAACGTCCAAGCCGACTGGCACCTATACCCAGTACATATGTGAGGTGGATATGGGGACACTCGGATGCGCCCGTCACGTTGGACTGACGGCAGGGCCCACGTCAAATCTCTTGAAGACGTCCCTGGCCTGATCTGCCCTCTTCCTCCTCTTTTCTGCCTCGTCCGCACAACCATCACCATTGTTGCTCCGTGGTTGTCCCCAACCCACAACATCGCTGTTCATGTCGCCAGTGGACAAGTTCGCTTCCTCGGACATACACCTCGTGCTCTGTATTTGATGAAATTTTCGAGCAATTTTTTTGTTCTTTTGGTCATTTGTGGGTCACCGATGAATTCGTCGTCGAATGCTGTGTATGGAAACACAAACCTTGATGGATTCATATACAAAGAGTTCATCGATTCGTCGGATTCGAATGACGAAGATGCTGAAATGATGATGATGAGCATCCGGGAAGAATTGGAGAAGCAAAAGGAGCATGTATTGAACCTCAAGGGTTCGATAAATGGCAGAAGAGTTGCTCCCTGAGATAGGATCGATGGTGCAAGGCTTCTCTACAATGACTACTTCAAACCGAGCCCAACATACTATGAAGATTTTTTCCGAGTCGCTTCCGGATGAGCAGAGATTTGTTCTTGCATGTAGTGAATGTCGTGGAGGAGGCTGATGACAGCTTCAAGTTTGAGGAAGGATTGTTGCGAGAAACTTTCTTTCTCTCCTCTGTAGAAATGCACGACTGCTCTCAGGATGCTTATCAAGATGGGAGAGACCACATGCTTGAACACCGCGATGCAATTTGTACACACCGTGGTGCAATTTGTACACACCATGGTGAAGGTGCTTGGACCAGAGTATCTGAGAGAACCAATTGTGGAGGACACATCAAAATTGTTGGCAATTGGACCATCAAAAGGTTTCTCAGGTATACTCGGTTCAGTTGATTTCATCCATTGACAATAGAAGAATTGCCCCAAAGGTTTGCATGGGCAGTATCAAGGTCACACCAAAGAGACCGTAATCATACTTGAAGAAGTGGCATCAAAGGACTTGGATTTGGCATGCTTTCTTTGACACGCTTGGTTCTAACGATGACATCAATGTGCTCCAACGATCTCCTTTGTCCAAGAGACTTTGTGATGGGGAGGCTTCAGAGTGCAACTACATTGTCAAAGGGCACTACTGCAACATGGGGTACTACCTTGCTGATGGTATCTATCCTTAATGGGCGACGTTTGTGAAGACTATATACGATCCTCATGGTAGAAAACAATCTGTCTTTGCACAAGCGCAAAAAGATGCTAGAAAGGATGTGGAGAGGTCATTCGAAGTGCTCCAAGTTCGTTGGGGTATTGTTCGTGGAGTTGCAATGATGTGGGAACCAAGAGACGTTTTGACAACTCATGACATGTTTTGTAATCTTGCACAACATGATTGTGGAGGATGAGGGTGAAGGGGCAACTCACATACTTTGACAACTCACGACATGTTTTGTAATCTTGTACAACATGATTGTGGAGGATGAGGGCGAAGGGTTGCCCACATGATTTGAGAAGTCCGGAGTTCAAGTCCGCCAAGAGGTGGAGCATGTTGCCAACTTTCTTGAGATGCATCAATAACTTAAAGATCAACAAACGCACATGCAACTTCTCAATGATCATATGGAGCATATGTGGATCCACGACGGAATCAGCTAACTATGAATTTTATGTTTGAATTATGCACTGTGAGCAAATTTTATATGTATTTTAATGTACAAGTAATTTTTATTTGTGTGCACAATTCATTGTTTCTGTGTGATGATAAAGGCGCATGTGTTTCTGCTAACCATGTTGTCCCTTGTTACTCGAAAGATCAAGAATGGTATATTTGTTTTGACATAACACTAGGCCCACCTAGTACATACATAGAATTATATCCGACTGACTATTCGACTTTGTACCTGTTTTCAGCTTCGAGCCAATACACTGAATACATACATATATGACATGATAATCACCGTCTGTTTTCATAGCCGATTAGTTAGAGGTAGCAGTTGAGACGACACGCACGCACACAAGACAAGAGCACTTGCGTCGGGTCGGGAGACGAAGGACGGCCTCGGCTATGTTGGTGGAGTTTTGGGTTGCGCTTGGTTGGAGTTGAGGGCAGGACAACCATTGAGCGCGATGCGGCCGTTGACCTTGAGCCTTTTGGTGGCCTCGACAGCAGCATCGGATTCGGATGCTTCCTGCTGCCCTCTCTTCCTGCAATGCCGATGCTGCTGCTTTTGTTCCTCAAACTTGCTCGCAGTCGCAGGCCTGAAAACTTCAGAGCAGTTTCGAGGTGCGGCTGAGGTACTAGCGTTGTTCCTCCAGGACGAAGAGGCACAAGAACCCAGGATATCTGAGAGCCTCTTGGTCTTGGGAAACTCTCGCTCCTCCGAGCTGTCATCCGATTCCACTTCCACGTTGACCTGCTGCACACGTATCAGTTAATTTGATTGATTCATCCCCCCAATGGAAAAAAAAACATGCCGTGCAGATAGCTTAGGATTCTTTGGTAAACTATGCATTTCTTATTTCAATACATATTTCTGCTGATAAGCTAAGTAGTCACAGAAAAAAAATGTGGATAGGAAAATCAGAGGCATTGATGTTGCTACTGAAAATAGTCTGTAGTAATCATTTTAGTTAGATAGTAAAAGGCAAAAACAGTCCCTTGCCTTTTACTATTTCTTAAACGAGGGTCCGAAACTTCATTGTAACACAACAAAGGCAAAAGATAAGGGTTCAATTCGGGGAGCAGACCAACAACTACCAAGAAAGAAAACTAGTATGTTTAAAACATCAGAGGGGGTACAAGAGTTTCTTCTTATCGGAAGTACTAGCATACGCGGAGTTGAAATAATTAATGCACAAGCAGAGCATGCATGGAGACCCAGAGATCCAAAATAAATAAATAACCGGACTCCTAACCAGCCAAGGAACAGAGAAATAAAGACCACTGGAGAAAATGGGAATACTGAAACAAGGACAGGGATAATGTTGCACCTTATCATGCTTGATATCCTTTTCATTTGCTTTTCCAATTGGTGGTGTTTTCTCCGTAGCCTTAAAGAATGCTGGTAACCCAGGCTCTTTTTTCACCTCAGCCAATTTAGCAAATCCAGGAGGCCTTGTAATGTTGAGAGAGAACTTGATTGGGGACTTTCTCTCAGAGAAAAGAGTGGAAGCACCGTTTTCTGATCCACCATGTGCTTTTGTAAATCCTGGAGGAGCATCAAGTCTCGGTCCTGGAGTGTCGAAAGCAAGGCTGGGAGAAGAGTTGATATGTGATTCTGCAGTTTTTCCTCTACGAAGCCCACAACGAGCTCTTGTGAAGCCAGGAGGGACATCAAGAGGAAATCCTGAAGGTGGGTCCAAAACAAGGTCTCCGCAAGCAGGAGCTCTCCTAGCAGATTTACATAGAGAATCTGTAGTCCCTGGAAAATACAACGAAAAAACATGAATCAGCAAAAGCAAGTACAGGGGCTGCATCGCTGAGATAGCAAGATCTACCACCCAAACAGCAAAAAAAGGTTGTTACCTGCGGAGTCAGGACTACAAGACCCAGTGAAGAAAGAAACAGCGGGAGCTGCATTACCTTTTGTGTATTTGCCTCCTATCATATCCAGGTCCAAGCCAATATCCTCAGATATATTACAGTCTCCCTTTGAAAGGCCAACATTGCTGATATCTGTATGACTGTCGACTCGGTGCTGCCTCTTTCTGGTACGCTTCTGGAAAACTCCAAAAAGGTAAAGTTCTCCGTCTTTCGCTGTTACAACAGATTCTGGCGGAAGTTAGATGATGCTAAATGAATATGAACCTGCATACTAGTTTTTCAAACATTCCAGAAATCATTTAGCAGGTATTGCCTAACTTAACAAAACATCCAGATTGCAGAAACAAAATAGAAGAGAACAGTTTCAAGCATAACATGTCCAATGGAAAACTTCACAAGATATGAATATCAGCTGCATGTCGTGCAATCGGTAAACTCTACCATAGCTATTGCGTATCAGTGGCCTTCGTAAGAGTCAAGTGGACATACTTTGATCATCTTCCGTAAGCAGCTTGGACGAAAATATAAGCAACTCCACGGTGCCGATGTCAGTCCGCAAGCCAATATGTGAAGAAACATTTTCCAGGAGATGGTAAGAGTCCCTATTTGGCCTGTATAAATAGGCAAAATTTAAGCTTATAAGGCAAGCTCATATGCACACACACACACACACACACACACACACACACAGACTGTATACGATGCAAGATCTTTTTATATGGCACCTGGCATGGCTGCAAGTAAGTCTACCATTGCTAATCCTTCTTTAATGTAAGTGGAAGCTAAGATGATGAGTGTACCTTTGACAAGAACTTATGAAGCACAGTCCAATATCTTGAGCAAGAGGTGGTTCCATCTTGAATTTTTTTGGTAACAGGCCAGAAAGAGGTAGAGCCTCTAGCTTCAAGATTTCAGGCATCTGTTTTGAAGCTTCATAAACTTTGCTAGAAATTTCACAAGGGAAATAGGCTTCAAGTCCATCACAAGTGTGTGTTAGCTCTCCAGTTATTTCAAATTTGCCCCTAAAGAAAGCAAATAATGATCCTGAGTGTTCGGCTGAAATAGAATAGACCACAGGGTCCTCTAGTAGGATTCACATCTTTGGAATCGCAGAAGACCTCAGTAAGCATAAACCGTCATCACTTGCCACATGAACATTCTTATCTTATATTCCCTCCATTCACAAATACAAGATATTTTAACTTTTTTCTGAATCGGGTGTATATAGACACGTTTTAGTGTGTGTGTTCACTCATTTCAGTCCGTATGTAGCCCATATTGAAATATCCAAAACATCTTATAGTATTTGTCAACAGAGGGAGTATAATATAGCTTATCGCACAAGTAATTGCTGCCTATACAGCTAATTAACCGCAACACCTAGCAGCCAAGGTTCAAAGCTTATAGCAGGTAGTATAAATGGAGTTTCAAACCCCACACATGAGTTGTGTTTTCTCCTTTTCGTGCTTCTACTTGGGAAGGTAACCTTCTAGTATCGAGTTTGCGCTTGCACAATGAGCCTACAACAATCTTCTATTCTACTTAGTCGGTAAAATTTCCAAATCATTAAACTCATGCAGCAAACAAATTGCACTGACCCTTCAAATTAGAAGATTCTAATGCGTAAAAGCAAAGTACTTACTTCCAGCAGGCCTCTGGTTGGTATGTCTCCTTGCACAGTGGTGTATGTAGAATTAATTGGGCACCTGTATCCATATCAAAACGTCATAACAACGAATTTTCTCAGAAGAAATATTATAAGATTGCACATAAGGAATAATATGATATTCTCTGTTATATCATTCTGTCCTTGCAAATGCGTGCACTGAACTGTAAAACATCGCTACAGAAATATGGGAAACATAATGTACAATTTTAAAAAGGCTAAAAGTTGGGTTTTCCTATTTAATTCTTCTCTTTTCCTGTATCTAATGTTAGGGCAAAAAGCAAGCAATACTCTCGAGCCCTTTCATGAGGACTGAAGGAATATTCAACATGGTAAACAAAATAAGTTTGAAAACAAAAGGTCCAATTATTGGAACTAAGTGAAGCAAATATCATGCATGCCATTTGTTTTATATACGTAGACTAAGAAAAATACAGCTAAATCATGCATCAGGATTTTTTTTTGGGTTGAATATGTTACTTTCAGGATAATAACCATACCTGAAGACATGTTACGACTAATTGATGGTTCCTGGTTCGTTTGTTTCTCGACATGGCTCTTAGTGGAAGAAACAACTCTCAAATCATTGGAAAGTTGAGCACATGGGGTTGGAGTTGTAGACTCTGGGCTTTTTGCTTGAGGTATGTTTGTTTCAGGCTGCAGTGAGTCCAGCTTGGATTTTCCATCAAACAAATTTAGTCTGGACGAAGACCTTCCAGTATCTGGACATACCTCGGTGGAACTTGAACTAAGCACAGATGTTGGGCTCAGTAATGGAAGCTTCACAGTAGTTTCTTTTTCCACAATAGGATCTGCGTCTCTTTTTGTGGGCTGACATTTAAGTGCAGATTGATTGCTTGTAGAGCATAACTTTTTGTTGTCAAGTGTGATGACACTCTTAGGAGGTTCTGCCTTTGTATTAAGAGGAACCTTCCTTGAATATGCAGGAGGAACATGCACAGAACCAGGGTTGATGGGATTCATCTCTGACTCTTTCTGCGAAACAGATGGAGGAAATGCACCTCCCTGGACAGCCTTGTAGAGTGGTGATGGCCGATTGAGAGAGAAAAATTGCCTGTTTTCAACTGTCTCAACTCTCTCAGGAGAAAGACACGATGCAACAGGCAGGGGTGGTGTTGTGGGCTTGGGACTAAGAGGTCCCGAGGCCTTGTGAGCTGTCTCAATTCTCTTAGGAGAAAGACACGATGCAACAGGCAGGGGTGGTGTAGTGGGCTTTGGACTAAGAGGTCCCGAGGCCTTGTGAGCTGTCTCAACTCTCTTAGGAGAAAGACACGACGCAACAGGATGGGGTGGTGTCGTGGGCTTGTGAGTAAGAGGTGTCGCGGCCTTGTGAGTAAGAGGTGCTGTGGCCTTGTGGGTAAGAGGCGTCGAAGCCTTGTGATTAAGCGGTGGCATGGCCTTGGGAGTAAACGGTGTCATAGACTTGTGAGTAAGCGGTGTCGATCTCGCAAGAGAAATTTTACGCGAACTCGGAGGAGGAGTGACACTTCGTCTGCAGTGTCTTTTCTGCAGTTTTGCTGAGCCAACTGTTCTACCAAAAGGCTTTCCATGCCGTACATAAGTGATGTCTTCTGCCGGAATCAACTTCACTCTTGCATCAGTTTTGTATATGTACCGCCAGACGGCTTATGCATGCTGTAAAATAGAGAGGAAGTTACTATACATTTTAAAATAAATAGATTCAGAAATAACATACTGGAATGTGAATTTTGCAAGACATGAATGATATTTAAGTGCAATCCAGGCAACAGAAATGACTTACTGGTATGCCAAGAACCTAAACAATGAAAGATGTAGCTTCCCGAAAAAAATAAAAGTGATATATCATGCTTTAAATAATGTCACTTCACTAACAAGCTTTACAAAATGAAGAAGGCAGTATACCATGCCTCAATGCTCACTACACTTACGCATAACCAAATTATAGAGTGGAATTAAACCGTGAGGCATAAAGCAACATACCAAGAAGCAATATAAATATATTTCTTCTTACATTTTCCCTTTTATTTTATTGCAAGGACGCATGTTTGGTTGGTGTACAAAACTAACCTTACCAATTTTTTGCTCATAGCCAAAAATTTGGTCCTTGTTTGGATGGGTTGCCCGAAATTGGTTGGTATGCCCATATGCAAACTTGCTAACTCTAGTTCATTTTTCTTGCTAACATTAGCCAATCATTGGCAAGCAAAACATTCACTAAAATTTTGGCTACCATTTTTTAGGATGGTGAATTTGGGCTCAAACTAAACATACCCTGTCCTCAGAATCATTCTAATGGTGTAGGACTGAATACGCACTTCTGGATAACAGAGTATTTGTCAGCTTACTACATATAAGATTATCAAATATCATGTTACTGGATCATGCACATTCATATTGAACTCAACCTGAGTTCCCCCGTGCAATTTCTTTAAATGGTCTAGGGAAACCAGATAGCCATGTTTAATCATGCAAACTCAGTCTCACGTGATACATACATTAGATAAAAGAACTGATTAGATTCAAGTGGGTATTAATAAGGTGTGAGCCTTAAAATATGAAAGGCTATTACGAGATTTATCCAAGATGGGGCCCTTAAATTCCTCCAAATGTGATCCATTGATCACTCATCAGCCCAACATAAAATGGTCAATGTGTGTAGTTCGCACAATTACACCTAGCCAGTGGTTTGCAACTTTGCACTGATATGCTCCTGATCTCCATATTCACGAATGCACGGGTCATTTTTTTAGGTTAAATACAAAAGTGAGGATAAAACCTGATGCAGCATGAGTTTACCAAGTAATAGCTACGAATATTATGAATCTTACAGTCAATTGTTATTTGAACCATAATGGGCCCATGACACAGACAAGGTAGAGTAGTTGACAATCCCCATGACATGATATTTTGGTTCCTAGACTAGGGATATGCTTCACAGAAACATAAGGCATTCACTACAGATAACAATTGTCACGAAGCTCCTGCTATTTAGTCTCAAAAAGAAAAACAAGGCGTTTACTAGAACAGTGAAACCAAAGCAGGATGACAAATGTAGAAACAATGACATGATTCCATCATATATAATGCTGTATGTTGGCGGACATAAGCATGAGGAACGTACCCATGCTCTGGAGGCTTTTTGGACTGCCCAGAAAGACCTCTATCGCCATTAGAGGTAGGACAAGGTGCATCCTGCAACAGTAAAACGAAACAAATTGATGTTAAACGATTTCCTCGGCCTCTGTACAAAATTAATTAACCAGGAAAGGCGTGACAAGCATGCTTATCCTAATCCAAGTGCGGAAGTTGGTAATCTAGGCATAGGAAGTTGGATCTTGGATCTATATACCAGCCCAGCCCAGACGGACAAGATGAACAATCATGCGCGAGTGGTAAGAAGACGTAGTAAGAAGAGAATCAAAATCAACCTCAACTTGGGCGATGTTGGCCCCCTGGGGAACAAGCGTTGTCACAATGGTAACAAATTAAGTAGTACTACTCCATATCTATACTCTACCTAATAAAGAAGATAAAATGGAAGTAGAGCGAGCGAATCTCGCACCGGCTGCACCACGCGGTAGCTAACGCAGAACCGAGCGCCGCGATCTATGACAGGCGACTCGTTCAGTACAGGGCAGCCGACGAGCACAAGGAAGCAGAGGGCAAAATCAACCTCGGAATGAAGAAAAGAAAAAGAAAAAGGCATTCGATGGTTGACAAAAACCCCCGTCCCGTCCCGTCCCGGCCCTCCCTCCCTCCATTCCACGCCGCCGCCGCGAGTCCGTACCGTACGCGGGAAACCCTAGGCGGCCCCCGTCCGCGATCGCGCGGGGGATTTGGGGGTGGGGGAAAAGAGGCGGCATGCGCCAATCAATCAAGCAAAGAAATGGAAAAGGGGGGCGATCGTCAGCTCGTCACCTTGGGCCTCGGCGCGGCGTCGGCGCGGCGCGCGGGCAGCGGCGGCGGGACCGAGCGGAAGGCCGCGCAGGGGTTCGGCCTCGCCGCCATTGGATTCCTCTGCTCCATCCTCACGCTCCCCACGCTCCCCATGCACGCACGCAGGCAGGGGCAGGGGAGAGTGAATGGACGGGGGTTTTTGGTTGTTGAGTGGAGCGAGGGGGAGGCGGTTGCGAGCAAATAGGCAAGCCTCTTCCCCTTCCGTGCCCCCCTCGCGGTACCCGTTTCGGCAACCCGCCTACCCAACCCGCGTGGCCTGCACCGCGCGACACTGACGGGCCGGCCCCGCGCTAGCCGGTCCCAGGTGTCATGCAGCGAGGATGCTGTGCTCCGCGGTGCGTGCGGCGGAGGGCCACGCTCGGGGTTCGATGGCGGGGGACCGGGGTGGACTGGCTGGCAGCTGCCACTTTTGACCGGGCGCATCCGGCGGTACGCGTGGGCGATCGGACGGCTGGCGGGCGAGCCTGCGTGCGACAAGCCCCTGCTGCGCCCAGGTACGCGCTGCGCCAGCCGCGTCGCGTATGATCGCTGACGTGTGGGGCCGCGCTTCGGCGGGGCCGGCGTGTCATGGGTAGCGAGGTGTGATTTTGTTGGTGTGGAGTGCGGAGGCGTCGGCTTTTGCCCGGTGGATTTGGACGGTCACCGAAGCCAGGAGACGGTACGCTGCGCCTTGGGTTTGGGGGCCAATGGGATGGCGGAACGGGAGGATCGTTCCTTCCTTAGTTGATTCCCCGCAGTCGTCTGTGTGGACGCACCGCTGCATGCATTGCGTGGATAAGACAAAGGTTGGTTGGGTGCACACAGTACACACTGGTTAAGTGGTTTATTGACTGACCACACTAATGGAAGCGTAGTTACCCTGCTTTTAGTGCCGGGCACCTAACCACCTCCTTCCTCAGCGTGTAGGCGAAAAATATGTGAATTGATTTAAAAAAAATCTTTCTAAAAATACTCGTACTCCTAGTTTATCTTTTTTTTTCCGGATCGCGGATACGGCGCGACGAAGCCCCCCTTGTCCCGGTAGCCGCCGCATGAAATGGACACGTTTGACAGTGCTTCCGCGTGATGAGGGTGAGTGCATGGTAACAAGCGAGTTGTCACGCGTTGGGATTCCTTCTCTAACGAGCACAAGCTGGAGCCATAACATGCAAGATGACACGCGTTGGGATTCACTCCCCAGCGAGCGCAAGCTGGAGCCATAATGTGCAAGACGTCACGTGCCCCATTCACTTCCCAGAGAGCGCAAGCTGTCACGCGAACGTGCAAGCTGCCACGTGCTGGGATTCACTCCCCAGCGAGCGCAAGCTGGAGCCATAACGTGCAAGCTCCCACGCGAACGTGCAAGTTGTCA